AACAGTAGGTTCAAGGAGCCACAGAGTCATGCAGCCAGCACAGGTCAAGATCAGTTATTACTTCTTGGGCAAATTTACTGATGTCCCATTTATTCATGCAAGCCATGCATACTGAAGGCTTACTGTATGGTGGGTGCTTGGTAAGTTTTGGGCACCATGGGAAGCACATTATGGCACCAGGGCTACCTCTCATTGGCACCATGTTCTTGGCCATAGGATTGTCCCACATAGGACTTAGTTGCTGAGCAGGCTACTTTCCCTTTCATAAATATTTTCTACCCTCCCAATTCTCAAGGTAAGCTTGTTTCTCTATGACATTTAAAAACAAAATAAACAAAACAAAGAAAGGCAAAGCAAGGTATGTCTGCTTTCCCTTATCCTGAAAAAACTGCAAAGAATTACCTTATTTTATTTTCTAACTAGCAAACTTCTTTCTCATCTTAATCTTCTGGTGGGTATCAGTGTCATATTCTTTTTTTTTTTTTTGTCTTTTTCCTTTTTATCGGTACCAGAGATTGAACTCACAACTGCCTGCTTGCAAGGCAGGTGCTTATGCCGCTGAGCTAAATCCCCAGCCCCAGTGTCATATTCTTGAGTGCTTTTCTCAAGGTCATCGATGGCCTTCTCATTGCCAAATCCATGAGCCTCACCTGGGACCATGCCCCCATGCCTTCAATGCACTGGGTGACCTCCGGTATGTTAATCTCTTTGAGCTTTCTGTGATCATGGCTACGTTCTGTTCTGTGTTGCCCAGTATGGTAGCCACTGGCCACATCTAGCTCTTGAGCATTTGAAATGTGGCAAATGTGACCCAGAAACTGAGCTTTTCATTTCAATTAATTTAAATTTAAGTAGTCACACATGTGACTGGTCATTGCAATGCTAGCAGTGTGGCTCTAGAGCATCCAGCGGTGTCTGGAAACCCTATGCTCCTAGCTATGATGATCCAGCATTCTTCTGGTTCTCTGTGAGCTCTTCTCTGCCTCCTCTGACTCCTTCTGCCCACTAAAAATAGCTTCCCCCAAGTGGCTGTGCTTGGTCCTTCTCTCTCTCTCTTCCTGCAATCTTTCTTATCCAGATCCAGCAGCCCCTGGGCTCTAATAATGAGCTCTGTGGAAATGACACCCAACACTCTCTCTAGCCCTCTCCTGCTCCTCTTTCTGGCTTCAGGCTGCTATCTCCATCCCCAGCCTGCTGGCATCACTTGAGCATCCTGCAGTCACCTTGGGTTTACTATGACCCTAGCTGAAGCCATTGTTTCCAAGTCCACCTAGTCTGTTCCTCCTCCACGTGACTCTTCCAGTGATCACCATTTTCTTGTTCTCGGAGTCATCTGTGATATGCTTCCCTCTCTGTTGCTGGTCTTTCCCTAACCGTCACTAGTCTTGGGATTCCTCCTGCACAATCCTCTGCTTTCATTTGCAAAGCCTCTCACTCTTTTCATGATTATAAAAGTAGTAAATATTTATGATAGAAAATTTACTACATTTATAAAAATAAAAAAAAACCCTCAAACAAATGACAACAACAAAACGAAACAAAACAAAACCATCCAAAAACAAGAAAGAAAAAAAGAAAACTTGGTCATAAATGTAACCACCCAGATAATGTTTTCTTTTCTTTTTTCGGTGTGTGACTTCCTACCTGTGACCTCTCGTAACCTAGTGTCTGGATTACTGTGGCTGTGAACCTTCAGTGTCTCTGCACTCTAATCCACTGCTATTTCCCAAGCCGTGATTCTCATCACATCACTCTTCCGTCCTGCTCATAAATCTCCAGAGGCACCCAGTTGTCTACTGAATTAAATTTGTCTCCACTGGCAGGGTGTTATGCCAACCCGACTTGGCCTTCTTCACGTGCAGCAGCACTAATACGGGAGACATTCCTGACACATCATAGTAAGACGTGACTGTGAAGGTTGGAAGTCATGCTTGTGAACAGATACCGATTTAATTTGGCTTAAATTTATTATGTACTATTGTTTCCACTCACTGGAAAACCGAACTCCAAAAATAGTTACCTAGTAGATTGTTGTAGACATGTTTATTAGGATAAACTTTGTATCTTTTTTTTTTCTGAGACAGGATCTTACTCTGTAATTCAGACTGGTCTTAAACTCGCTGTGTAGCCCAGGCTAGCCAACCTTGAACTCACAGTGATCTTCCTACCTCATCCTTCCTAGTTCTGGGATTACAAGCCTGTGCCACCACACCCAGCAAGATTTCACATCTTTTTAGAAAAATTTGTTTGCCTCCTTTTGGTAACACATAATTGCTATTTGTAGTTCAATGTGTATTTTATAATTTCACAGCATAAAGCCCTATGGGTTAAGTATTTCCTTTCTTTTTTTTTTTAACCAATACCAATATGATTTTATTGGAATATGGAATGTAAACAGATTCTTCAAACAAACGCTCTAATCTTCAAAAAACATATGGCATTATTAAATAGTTAGTGAAGAAATCCTAAGTGTGATATGGTGCCAGACTCCTCCAGCTCTAGCCCAGGCATGGTAGGTCCCCAGAGCTGTCGCAATAGCTCTGTAGCTGGGGAAAAGAGGATGATGGCAAATCATGTTGTTGACAAGTCCCCAACAGGGGACAGCCTGAAATCAGCCCATTCTCTCACTTTCTCTGTTTTAAAATAAAACCTAGCTTTCTTTGCTAATGTCAGGTTAGCACAGCAGATCCAAAGCTTTAATGCTGGCCCCAGGAGGTCCACTTTTATCCCCAGTCTCCTGCATATTTGTGTCCTCTCAGTTGCTGGAGTTATGGGATGGCCTTGCCCATACAATATCAGTAACTGCATTTGAAAAAACTTACCTTTCCCTTTTTCTATGTCACACATCAGTACACAAAATATACATTACCCCATGACAATTTCTAGCTGTAATTAATTATTTCCTTTCTTATGCCCCCGAGAGATTTCTTTCCCAGAGCCAAGAAACTCTTACTCTCCTAGCTGAAGAAATACCACTTCTGTTGAGTATTGAGACCCTGCATCAGTGAAAAATGAACCTGGAGCTGTTTTTGAAGGCCTACAGAAAATGGAGTCTTTCATGGGACGAAATGTTCTGGGCAGTCTTAGAATCTGGGTCTTCCTGGCTGGCTGAATTCTGCTCTTTGGCAAATGCTACGTTGTCTGTGTCTTAGGACCGAGCACCCTGCTGGGTGTCCCCAGCTCTGTCAGCATAAGCATGGCTCAGTTCAGACTGGGGTCTCTTTGGGATTTGGGAGGATGTGCAGGAAGACGAGGACTCCGTCAAGTTTGGTCTGGTGGCTTGTAATATAATCTTGTGTTCATTGAGTATGGGTCTGGTCCTTAACGAATTCTGTGCTCAGTTCTGTCTTATTTTGTAGCAGCTCCTTGGCATGTAGTAAGCCATTAATAAATGGCTGCTATTATTAGGATTATGATTATACAGATGCCTCCACAAACATATTCTTTGGCTCTACTCTTCTCATGCTTTAGACTGAGGCTCCTGGCTGCCTGCTGAATGTCATACACGTTTGCACCTTTGCCCATGCTGTGGGCTCTGCCAGGCATATCTTTCCACCCTCCTCTCCCCCTACTAAAATCCTATCCCCACATTTAGTACCAGGCTAATGCCTTCTCCTCACATGGCTCCTTCTGCTTAGCTGGAACTCTAGCCTCTTCCTCCATACTCCGCATTCTTTCTACTCTCCTCTCCATAGTAAGCTGCTAGTCCCACCCTATCCTAGCTTCAGTTATTCATATGTGACTGTAAGTTTCTCTCTTGAATTTGGTGGGAGCTACTCAAGAGATATATGATCCTCATCATGGCTATTATAGAACTTTGCATGTAACATGTGCACTGTTTAGACACCTTTGTGTGATGCAGGCTGTGGTAGAAACTCCAGAGGCACGAGGTCTTTTTTGAAATTCTGAAAGAGCAGAGGCAGTGCCACAAAACTGGCCACATGTTCCAGGGACATCCTTGCTGCAAAGCTCTCGGGCTGCAGAAATATACTGTGGATGGGGAGCTCAAGGTACACAGATGCTGTGTTTAGCAAGTTGTATTCCTTGTTGTATTTTGAGATACTTCCTGAACTCATGATGAAATTCATAGAAGAAAACCCAACTTATTATTGTTAAAAAAGGCTCATCTTGCCTTTTGGAGCCCTGAAAGTCACATTTTTTTTCCAAAAAATGAAATAAAAAGAATATTTTTTCTTCATGTGAAAACTCATTAATTTTGTGAAAGAGAGAGCTATGAAACAGCAGGCCAATATTTTAGTGCCCCAGTTTCCTCATCTGTAAAGTATAAAAGATAATAGGGTCTTACAGGGTCTTACATGAGAATTGTATGAGTTTGTATATAAAGTGCTCAAAATAGAGCTTTTATCATTACTATCTGCATGCTTAATATACTTATTACCATTGATGCACTGATGAAATTTGCCCCAAAAATAATTTAATGATGTCACCAGGATCAGAGAGACACAAATCCTCAAATTCACCTAAGCTACTTTGCACCCTGGAGAGATGCAACAAATATCAACCCAGACTTTTTTCTTTAAACCATGCCAACTTTATAATGCTTGTGCCTCTCCATTGTTGTGCATTGCTGTAACCTTCTACCCTGTGCCTACCTAGTAGCAAATTGGTTCATTCCGCAGTTGACGTAGATGTTAACAAAATAAATATGACTGGAAGGGAACAAGACTTGCTTCTTAATTCTGCAGTCCTGCAATACTGGAGGAGGGCTGAAAATTGCAGTTACATGGTAATCATAAGGCAATCACATCAAAAGAGCTTTTCTTTCTCTTTTACATCTCAAAGGGACATGTGTCCTAAGAATCTTCTTCTCCTTTAATGGTCTTGACATTGTCACTTAACATTCAAGAGCAAAACTATGACAATAACTCTTGACCTGGCTGCCAGAAGTAACATGAAGAGACACATCACAGCTGAAAAGAGAGAATGGCCTCTTTATGGTGACTGGCTTGGAATTATAAATATTTTTATTTCTCCCGTAGGAGATGGCTCGTGGAAGAGAGGAGACAAACATGACTTTGAAGCTAAGCAAGCGTACTCATCCCTCCAAACAGTCACTCTACTGAGGACCGTGAAACCTGAGTTTGAGAAGTTTTCCATGGAGGTGAAAAGTTCTGTTGAGAAGCAAGGGCTCAATGAGGATTACGTAAGTGCTTAATTATGAACCTGGCCCTTCAGCATCCTGAAAACAGTCTTCTAATTAAATCAGAAGTGACAAAGTGTCCCATTCTGAGCCATTCAAAAATTCCGAGTTCAGGTCTGAAAGTCACCGCTGCCTTCCATGTGTTTTTTTCTGGCTAGTTTCACTCCCCCCAACCCCCCTCACCATACCTCCATCATTTCTGGCCTTCACTGATGCTTTTTAAACTACTGCAGGGATGAAAATCACCTTTTTTCGGGGGACTGTAGTGTGCGGTGCAGAATGTCTGCAGAGATTCCATCTGTGTTTGTGGTCCTCCATTTGGGACGGGCTGGGGGAGAAAGTGGTTGAAGCAATGAAGTCTTGCTTGCCTCATTTCTCCAAAGCTTGGTGGCAGAAGATGGTTTGGGTTTTAGAAGGCTCTTTCTCTTGGCAACTCGTCCTCACTTCATGGCTAGTATGCTTGTCTGTCTTGCTCCCCCTTCTGTTGTAGGCAGCTCCCTATTTAAGTGTCTCAGGGTTTTCCATTCCTGTAGTGCTGTTACTAGATGCATTTTCAGGGTAGGTAGAGTCAGAAGCTTATACCAGGTTAAGTATTAAACAGAGGCGCTCATCTAAAAGACTGCACGGAAGGCAGATGACTACTTCCTGCGTCCATTGTTTGGGCTGTGCTTGGCACACTACAATGGCACATGCTTTCTCACAAGGCAGGGGCTCATTGAGAGGGTGTGCTGGTTTTCAAGGTGCTCACTCTGCACTGTCCTCCAAAGTGAACAAACAAACAAACCCCTTAATGATAGATAAATGGTGTTAATTTTCCCTGCCTAAATGTGATAGTGACTCAACCTTGCAAGAGATGGTCATTTCCAAACAGGATCACTCTTAAAAATCTTTAAAGTGAGCTGGGTTAACCTCACACAGACCTACATTCAGGACCTGTAAATAGCACTTTTTATCTGTGTGGTTTTTCATGTCTTATTCAGTCTTCCTGATTTTTTTTTTTTGATACCGGGAGTCGCACTCAGAACCTTGTGCTTGCTAGGCAGGTGCTGTGCCACTGAGCTATATCTCTGAAAGTCTTCCTGATTTAAATAACTCCTCTCTTTTGGGAAGATTACAAATAATTTATTTGATGGTGTTTTGCATTGTTGCTGTCAAAAAGTTGGAACTTAATAAATGGCACCTCTGTTGTATAGCTATTATAAGATTGTACTTATCTTTACAGGAATTTTCTATCAAAAACATACAAAGGGCCTTATAAACATGTTCATTAATGTTTTAAATATAATATACACATTCCATATAAAATACCCTTTAACTTCCTAAGTCCCGCTTTCCATTAGGAATGAGTCAAAAATGTGAATCATATGCATAATTTAAGATTTTGTAGTATACATGTTAAAAAAGGGAAAAGAAACAAAATAGGTGAAATTGATTTTAATAATATTTTATTTAAAGTAAAATATCATTTTAACATTAAATCAATATAAAAATTATTAAACTTGTTATTTCTTTTATTTTTTAAAGTCTCTGAAATCCAGAGCCTGTATTGCTGTATTTGACATTCACAGCAAATTGAGCCCTTGTCCAAGTACTAACTAATTAATGTCATTTGTTGCTATGGTGGTATTGGGCCGTGTGTTCTGGATTATGAAAGAAGTAGGCTTTCTGCAGCAAAGCCCAGATTTCAGGGAACCTGTGGTGATGTTGTCACAAGAACGTGAAAAGCACAAAGAGAAGTGAGCTTCCTCCCGTGATGCTACCAAAGGCGACTGCGCCCAAGTTGAAAACACCAAGATCTTTTACATATAGATCTGTATATTATTTTACTTTGTTAGGGTCACACTAAATTTATGATGAAAAACTCAACAATGCTTCCATTTTGTCTGATTTTCTCCTTGAGGCTGCTGAAGTTCAATGACTTCAGCATACATTGTTCAACATAATGATACTCCCAGGGCAAAGCTGGCATCTTAACACATGGCTGAGTCACGCTTCTTAGTCTTCAGTTACTCTGTGTTCACAGTATTAAGTCTTATTTTAGTGTTGGTCTAAGCAAAAAGACTCATTAGAGAGGCATACTTACTATCAAGGCCCATAATACATTCTAACCAAATACTACTACTCAGAGATTCTTAGCAGCCATGGATTATAGTACTGGTCTCCCTTCTGGAAGGACTATTAAAATTGAACTTTATCAATCAATCACTTTGAAATAGAAATTTGGGCTCATTATAACAGCTTATTCCAGTTCTGAAAGATGTTTTTCGGTGGTCATGGTGAGTCATGGGAGGGAGAAATGGGAGTTAAGAGTCGGGAATCGAGGCCCACATGGATGGCAGGCTTTGGTCTAGGGCAGCAGGAGATGCTGCACAAGAGTCCCGGGCTTCATTTGGGGCTCAGTTCTTTTTCTGACCTTTTGCGTATTCATGAGTTGTTCTGTCTGCTTGGGTCTCAGTTCCCAGTGCTCATCACGAGCCCTTCTGTTTCTTCCCTTTATCTCACATGCAGTACCTTGAGTGGACTCTTACTAGTTCTAAAATATACACTACATTTTCTAAACAATCACATTTCATGTGCATAGTAACTGTTTTGTTTCTTTTTAATTATTTTACTTTTATATATGCTTAATTAAAAATACATGCAATTTGAAGTATTCAATTAAAATTAAACATAAAAATTAAATTAACAATTTTAATGCCCTGGTAAGGACCACAATATGGTACTGACTTTAAGCAGTGTTAGTATTCACCTTAACTTTAAAATGAAGAACATGTAACAGATTTCATATCATTTAACCACTGCTTAAACATGATGTTACTTGTGGGGTTTTTGAGAGAGCTTATTAGATTATAGAAATTCTCTTTTATTTTTTGTTGTTGAAGTTTTTTTTTCAGAATGACAAATTTTTATCAGGATAAGTGCAACAAAAATAGTACAAGTACTAAGAATTCTTTAATGTAGAATAACAAAAGGCCTTGAAAATAGGTTTTTATTTTAGGCATCATAAATTGCATGGAAGCCTTTATTCTATTTCGTATATGTGAGTACCACATTCATATTAGTAAGTTGTCATCATCCTTGGGAAGGTTATCAGGTTCTCAAAATGCAAACATTTAAAATTTCAAAATGTTTATTGGCTAAAGTATTGGAAGGATGGAGTGGTAATTTTTTTAGTAGAATTAATATTCTATAATTTTCTTACTGAGTTTTGATGGATATAATTTTGCTTTTGTAAAATTCATCTCTTTTTCTCTCTTTCCCTTGATCTCTCTCTTTTTAAAATTTATTGCTTAATTGGGATTATTGAAGACTTACATGTAGTTTTAACATATAATGCAGAGATATCCCTGTGTATATTGCCTGATTTTGGCAATGATAACATTTTGAAAAATTATGTAGAAGATTCAGTCAGGATCCTGATGCAACAAACTGATCACACTCTCAGATTTCTTCTATGCAGTTGTATCACCTGTGTAGGTTTGGGTGTTGAATTTTATCAAGCGCCTTTTTAAAAACATATTGCAGCAATCTAATTCTTTATTCTGTAATAAGGTTATCACATGGTTAGTTGCACTACTAGATTTTTCTAATCTTAAACACCTCTGCATTCTTAGAATAACTCCAGTCTCTCTACTGCAAAACTTTGAGTTTCTTGCAAAGTTCATATATTTGAGAATATAATTATTATTAAACCTATACCTGCTTGATTAAGTGGAACTTTTCATGTTGGTTAGCTCAAAGGCTACTTGTTGGCCTGTAAATTCTTTTTTGCACTTTTGCACTTTTTTTCAAATTTGCACTACTGCGTCGAAAACCTGTGATTAGATGGTGCACGCGTGTGGTGTGATAGCAAATAGATCACTCAGGGTCAGGCTACCACTAGGGCTGTAAGTGTTACATATACTATTATTGTCCAGTTATTAGAACATGTACCTTGTCATGTGGTAGTGTGCCTGAGCACTCTAAGGTGGAGGATTTAGAACACGTACCGTATGACTGTGTCTCTACCATATATATTCCTTTAGGTAATATAATATTTTAAAATATTTGTCCTCTTGCTTATGAGCTGAGTGAAGTCTATTTCATTCTGATACATCATGCTTTGGTAGAGCACAGTGGCCACCGATGGAGCAGTATTATCCAGGCTTAAATATGCAGGCTTGGAGTTTCACAGATTTGGTTCTGCCTCTTACTAAGTACTTCTAATTTTGGACATGCTTATGAAACTCTGCCTTACTTTACTGACTGTAAAATGACAATAAAGTTTTAATTGATTAAGTTGCTGAAAGAACTCAAGAATTATATATAAATGATATTCAACCCTTGCCAGGCACTTAGTGCTCAATGGGTGGTAGCTATTATTTCTTTTACTTTCATTTTTTACACTCTAGGCCAATAAGTATGATGCTTCCTGCCCCTTTTATTCCTCCTCATCCTTTGGGTCTTCATCAGATACTACTGCCTCTTGACAGCCGGACTGTTACACTGCACTCTGCTCCTTTCTATCAGAACGTGCATCTCAGCTATAATCATACATCGATGTGTGGGATTTTGTATTTAACTTTGGTAGCTCCCAATCTCTGTGAGAGTAGGAACCATACACATTCGTGCTCATTCTATGCTTAGCACATGAGAGACAGCCTGTAAAAGTAACTGTTATTGCAAGTTGAGCATCCTTAGTTGGAAGATCTGAAATCTGAAATTCTCTCAAATCCTAAACATTTTGAGCACTGACATAATACCATGAGTGGAAAATTTCACACCTGACTTCATGTGGAGGGTTGAAGTCCAAAATGCAGATATATGACAATATATGAAATTGCCTTGATGCTATGTGTATAAGATATATATGAAACATGAGTGAATTTCATGTTTAGATTTGGGTCCTATCCCTATGATATCATCATGTATGTATCAAAATCCCAAAAAACCCATAACAAAACCACCAAACCTCTTGAAATCTAGACTATTCCTGGTCCTAAGCATTCCTAATTAGGGATAAC